CTTAAAATGTAAACTTTGGTAACAACTATAGACATTAATTTCGGTGTATTTTCTGATTACATGTGAGATGTAGAGAAGATTGCGGTAAAATGAAGATTTCGCGGTAGTATATGTGGTGTGGAATATATATTTTGATATTTTAGGAGGGTACTCATTTTGATAGTTAAAAATTACTATATCATGCGCTTACAATTTGCAGTTTTTTTAGAATGAGGTGATAGGACTAAACTCAAATAAGTATTTGATAGTTTGCAAATTCACAGCAAGATAATGAACACTAAAGATAATTGAGAACTTGTAATAATGATATTGAATAATATATCTTGAATAATAGAGTAATTGAACCTAAATGCTCCCAGGATTTTGCATAGCTTACACGCCCAATGACATCAGAAAAAGTGTGAATCTAGAATTTTTCCGCGAATGTGGATGCCCAGGCTGCCTATTTTCTTGTATGATAACAAGGTTTCGCAGTTTTCAACGTCTAGAACTTAAATAGACATACGTAAACTACAAGTTTGCCATATTACATACATGAGTCATCTGCGCCATCTAGTGTGTAGTTAGCACAAAAACAATTCATACTGTTAAACCTAAACGAGAACCAATTGAGTAAACTCCTATTAGAACAATTGTCTTTTTTAAATTACTGCGAATATGACATCAGCTTTCTGAACCTGTTCTTTTGCATTTGCCAGCGTAATTATAATTTGTTCCTACAACAATTGCCTTTCCTACGTTTTCCCAATACAATTGTTATTCCGTTCTTTAGATATTACGTATTGGATATTATATCAGTATATTATATATATATATTATATATATATATATATATTAGATATAATATAGCACAAAGCTTTCTCATCTCTTGATTACGATCGGACATAAGTTAAAGATTAATACGCTTTACAGAGCATCGCTAAGCTGTCTCAACTTGTGCTATTAGATGATAGACGGACACAGCGATAAGAAGATAACGTACATTGTGCAAACAAGTGAACGAGCCACAAAGCCACACAAACTCACTCAACTTGCGCTAAAATAGATTGATGGATATATAGCATCAAAAGCTTACTCACTTTGAATATGATGAGAGATCGTCTAGTTTAGCCATGCTGAGATCGCACAGATGGTGTACATCTGCCGTGAGATGGACGTGGGACGCCATGGTTAATAAGTCGCTTGCTCTTCAGCACGTTCGCGTTCTCTCAGTATCTCGAGCGCATACTTCGCATGCATCTACGCAAACAACGACAGACGAGCCTGACTTTTCTTTTCGATATATCGCTCCTAAACATAGTTCTAGTTCCTAGGCTTACCCTAATGCGACTCATTTCGACATGAGATTATGGGTATTCTCATGTGAATTTCTCTCTTATTCATTAATTTTATCTCGATATTTTTAGGTGTTTGCGCTGAATTCATAAGAACATAACTTACATGTAGGCTTGGCTTTCGAGTCCGACCGAGGTTTAAGACGATTTCATAATTGCCTCAAATAATAATGTCATTTAGTATTTTAAGTTAGTTAGAATAATTAGCAAATAAATTTACACCACGAGTCACGTGGGCATGAGGATTTCTTCAGTCCGTATTCCTAAACATTATCTCCAGTGATGCTAAATCTTACATTCTCGTACTTTCACTCAAATGACACGCAACATTTAGGAATACACGATAAAATAAGTGATATATTTAAAGCGCTTCATAACCCGTTAGCAGACGGCGTCACTAGAGTTGTGTCACAGCCGGTGCAGTAACTCATGGTGTCACCCCCATGGGGACCTCCTCCCGTACCAGACCATACAGAATCCTTTAGGTAATGTTTTTGTACTAATGTACGCGTATAATCGACAATTCCCGTATATCACAGATGTATTGCAATAGTAGTGACATAAACATACTAGCAATATTAAAATCACTCCCTGCGATGGTGTCACCCGGTGCGTTCCCACCCCTTGTGACGCCACGGATCGTACAGTGTTTCGCTAGCAAACATTGAATGCCATTCATTAGTTCTCCGGATAACACGGCGGACAACGCACCGCTGACGTCGACGACACCGACGTTCGGCGATATCGACGGCCGGTTGACGTCATTGCGTGGCAATCTCTTAATGATGTTGAACCGAAGACTGGATCGACGGGCGCCACCATCGTCGAGCGGCTCTTCGCGATTGTATTGAAATTACGGCTCGACTCGACGCACGCTCTAAATCTGCTTGCGAGCCGTCCGTCGCTGTCGCAGGCGCCTACGCCGATTTCGAAAATACCAAATGTTGATGAAGCGCGCCGCGACGCGCCGGAGTACTATAGACAATTCCCACTGTTGGTTCAGAAACTTGCTGGATGTCATTCATTGATCATTATCGTCCTCGCCTTATTTTTACTTTCGGGAAATTCGAGGAGAGCCGAAATCGCGCCGAGAAGACGGTGCGTGATTGCCCTCGCACGAAAGTTCGCATATCTGACCGTAAAAAATAAGCCGCCAAGCCGAGTTTAGGCTTCCGCCCCTCCTATGCCAATAGCGAGGCCGAGAAGCTGGAAGTATAAACGCTTCTTTCAAGATGGCGACGATGTCCGCAACGCCGCTGATTAATGAAGGCAACCGCCGCAACCCCACCGGTGCGTCTGAAAGATTGTCGCTGATATTCGGCAACCGGAAGATCTTCGATAGGCGAACAATCTCGTATTAATGACGCAGACGCCACCGGCTATTTACACACTCGCGCAATCTTCCGGTATGTCCATCAAAGCGCTTTCAGCGAAGCGCTGTCGTGATGTAAGGGAACCTGGATTTTTCTGACAGCAAATCTTCTGATTGCGCGCACGGTTATCGCGACGATAAACCAGGAATTACGCTGAGACCGCCAGAGGAGAAAGCCTACTCGATCACGTAAACGTGGATCTCTACGTGCGTTGGGTTTCACATTTCTTGCTCACGCAGAATAATAAAGCCGCGTAAAAAGGTGAGCACATTGCAGAACTATAACCTACGTCACATGTTATGCTCACTGACGTTCATATGGCAGCACGCATTTCGATTTGGTCATTACGTATTTCAGGTTTATGCGTGAGCTGATCCACGGGACATCAATAGCGTCAGCAGCACTCACACACACACTAGGCACGCAACCACGCAGACACTGGCACACACACGCAAGATACGCAGCCACGCACGCACACACGCCGACACGCACGGCGCGCCACTTAACGTGTAATATATAGTGTAATATAAGTGCGGTAAGTGCTGCATTGCTCCACGAATGATTGCTAGTATGCGATTAGAGTGACGCACACGATATGGTATCAGAAATCAACATGATATTCAGCTCAATCGATCTTAAACGAAAATGACGAGCGGTAGTTCTCCTAAGTGTATGCTGAAAATTAATCGGAGATTGCCAAATATCAGAGCATTTATCAGCTATAAACAGCGGAACGAGTCTAGCCGGTTGTCCACTATTAAGGGCAGGCATACAAGTCACACACGCGGCACCACGCAAACACGAACGCACACAAGATACAGCAGCACTCTACTACACCTGGTACACGTGTACACTCACGCGCAGCACGCACACGACACACACGCTTCCGCGACGTACACCACACACACACCACACCACAGACACGCGCGCGCGCGCGCCAGACGTACACACACACACACACACACATCAACACACACACATCACACCACACACACCACCCACACACAGACGTACAACACACCACACACCACACACACACACACACACACACACACACACACACACACACACACACACACACACACACAACACAACACACACACACACACAACACACAACACACACTACACACACGACACACACACACACACACACACACACACACACACGCACGACGCTACACGCACACAACGCAGAGATGGCCCGAACGACGCCTTTCACGTGTAGATGCCACACGCGCGCACGAGCGAATGTCACCAAGGGCAATAATACCTTTCATTACTTAGTTTATAAACTCTTGATGTCACTTAAACAGGGTGCGGCAAACTGCGGCCCTCCACGGGGTTCTGTCGGCCCGCGGAAGCCTTGCCCACAAATAAAAAATAAATAAAAAAATGAAAAAATAATTTTTTTTTTAAATCAATAAACTTTTTGTGAAAGTACAACATGTTTGTGCGTTGAACCGACGGCCTGCCTTTTTTCTGTCATACAGATTAGGTTCTGATTTCTCTCTGCGTTCGCTCCTGCAAGACGCCACTTTCAAGGCTAATTATGGTCAGAGATGCGACCCTTGAGGGCGAAACGCAGCGTATTATCTTAGAGCGCACGCCCGATTTTAAAAAAGGGCGCGGCCCTTGACTTTTCATGCCCACTAATGCTGGCCTCGCTTTGAAAGTTTGCCCCATGCACTAGAAGAACTGAGACATGCAGCCGGCCCATTCGAGTCAGTAAACCCAACTGTTCTTCGTTTAAAAAATGGGTACATCATCCGTCTCAAGCGGACCTGGGGTTTACCCACGGGAAACTGATGGTCCGGTCCCTTGTACGTGGCTAACACTCAGCAATTTCTGGGGTCGTCGCAGTGAGAAAACTCTAAAGTCCTCTCCTCTACTGCTGGGCTGAGCTGTAAGCGGACAACACGCGGCAACATAAATGACGGCCGGGTCAGGTGGATCTTGACATTATTACGTTGGTTTTACATTTTCAGAGTATAGTCATAGATATGATTATATATAATACCTATTAGATTGACATGACTCACAAAGCGTAATAATGTACATCTTATATCAAGAAGCATACTATTAGCTCCTTGCATTATATATATATAGTAGTAATATGTGTGTGTGTCTCGAGTGTGTGTGTGTGTGCCTGTGTGTGTGTGTGCTGTGTGGCCCGCGTCCGTTGCCCCGCCGCAACCTGTGCGTGCCTTGGCTCGCGGGGCGATGTGTGCTGGGTGTCGTGTGGTGTGTGTGTGCGTGCTGTATGTGTGTTATGTGTGTGTGTTGTGTGTGTGTGACTGTGTGTGTGTTGTGTGTGCTGTGATGTGTGGTGTGTGCTGCGTGTGTGCTCTGTGCTGTGGTGCGCCCCATGTGCGGGTGTGTTGTCTGTGTGTGTGTGTGTGTTGTGTGTGTGGTGTGCTGCTGTGTGTTTTGAATGTGTGCTGTGTTGTGTGTGTGTGTGATGTCCCATGTTGTGTGGGTGTATGTTGTGTGTGTGCTGTTTGTGTGCCGCGCCGGTTGTGTGTCGTGCCGTCGCGCCGTGCGCCGCCCGGCGCGGCCGCGGTGTGTATGAGTATTTCCCTGTATAGTATGTTAGAATCATTTTAAACCGCGGGTCCCTTTGTCAATTCTTCCTGTCAATTCGTACCCGATATTCTTGCAGTGCGTCTCCGCATCAATTTTTATCAGCAGGGTACATAACCGCTATGCGGTATGTTCTTCAAGACCCAGTTTGACTGATCCCTATCAGCTAGTATTACGGTACCACAGGTGGCAAGTCAACAATGAAGGCCTGGACACTAGGGCCGAAAAGAGATGGCTCAAAAAAGAGATCGTATTTGAGTGTACGCGTACGCTTGAATTTTGTATTTCTCATTAGAAAGGGTCAGAACTCTGTGCAATTGTTAATTTCATAAACTAGAATCTTTTCTGAATCCGACAGTGTAAACGGCTCGTCCGAGGTGCGTTGCGTTTGCGGCCGGGGAATTTTCAAAGAAAGCCTACTTTTTTGTGCATAATCACATTGTAAATGGGCCATTTCGAGTGAGTGCTGGAAAAATGATGTTTAGAAAAAAAATTATGGAAGAATTTTTTTGTTAATAACATATATGGTGTCACTTGCGACTTGGATTCAGAGGATGGCATTGTTATTCCAAAAATAAACTTCTGCTGATTTATGGGAATTTTTTCGTAAGTATTACCGCCTATGGAAATTGATTTCCAAGCGACCGATTACCGATTACTACGATTACCGATAATAACGGGGATGTCTCGCGCTATCGCGAGAAAGTTCGAGAAATGACAGCGGAAACCAAAAAACAGCAAGCAAAATTGTGATCGTGCATGTTTTGGCGAATACGAAGGTTCTAATACATTTTATCGTTACTCTATCCGATTGCTGTTACTCAAGCAATAACGGTAGGTATAATGAAAGTGGGGGGGAAACACTGGAGAATTCTCGTAATTATGGCTTTCAAGTATACAGTGAGGGAAACTGTCGAGATACGACGCGGCTCGGGCGCGCGTGCGTCACACATTCTCTCTGAACGCTAAATAAAGCTTTTCGCAACTTTTATATACAAATGTCATTCACATGCTGGGTGAGCTCATATAAAATATGATCAGTAGTGAATAACAATAGACAAGTTGGATGTACAGCGCTAGTTCTGATGTCATTTCTATTAGATTTCACGTAATAAATCATAGGAAAATTTCAGCATGGAAACGTTGAATTTTGTTGTGTTTCGAGCGAGTCATACTCTAATTATTCACTCCTGATATGATATAATCGCGTGGAGTATGTCTATTGACGCCAACGGCTGTCAGTATTACGAAGTTTCATATATCGTGTGTATAATTACTGCCTGCACGGTATGCGTGCGAGTACACTTATATTTATGTTGCTATGGAGATGGGCACAGAGAAAAACCTTTATTCGCGTCTGTTTAATCACACGCGCCTGGTTGCAGCTGTTTGATTTATTTTTTACCAATCTCCCGATTTTTTAAAAATAATTTTCGCTGCGCAGCATAATAACACAGTAGTTTGATCTGATTTCTCCATTTGCGATACCGAATTAACGAAGATTCTGCTAAAGGCAATGGGCGCAGCTGCCTTTGTGTAACGTGCTAATTATATGCGCGTCATTCCAAATATATATCTCGTGATATCATTCCAGCGTATGTTGATATAACTGTCATTGCGTCATCATTGAGTCATGATTGCGTCATCATCGAGGATGTTGTTGTTGTTGAGCATCACATCGTGAATGCGCGGTGAGCATCGAGCCTGCAGGGGACCAGGTGGCTGCTGCCTTATCTATGACGTTTGCATTGTAATTTATGAGAAGAGTTCAGCGAAAAGAGCAATCGCAAACAACGTCACGAAGGTATAGGAGAAGCAAGCACGTCGTACGCACGCGTCCACTTCTATATGGTATAGACGAGGAGTTTGAGTCGTCATGATCATGCGTCTGCGTGTATGCATGCAGTCGTGCGCCTCCTCTTTATTGTGCGTGTTTATATTATTATGTCGCAACCATTACGGCTATTATTGGCTGGACAGATTTTCCTTTTCATACCGTTTAGAGAGGTTAGTTGGTTGGTTAGCTTAGGCTGGCGGTTAAGTAATAAGTTATAATGTTACACCGATGGCGTGGCAACTAAGTTACGACGGTGTTATAGAAACTGATATATATATATATATATATATATATATATA